TTCCTGCTGGATGGGGCGAGGAAGCTGATTAAGAAAGGCTGAATTCCTGTTCAGGATCACGCATGGAGTGATGTCAGCGGCAAGGACATGGGCAAAGGCGTTTGGCTGTCACTGGTAAGAATGCTCTTTCCACTGCCGAATGCCCACAGCACGGTGTATGTATCCTAACGCTTTAGGCTATTTCTGGTGCCACTGAGGGGTATTTATGCCCTTTTTTTTTTTTTTTGGAGAGGTATTTTCACTATAGGGCGCGTGTGCTCGCCAGACAGAGACATAGAGACAGAAAGCGAGAAATCACCCCCCAGGGGGGATGGTCATGCCGCAATCCCTCCTCCTCCATTCTCCTCTTGGGATCTTGAGCACACACGCACACGCGCCCGGCATGAGTTTTAAGCCACCGGGTCCGGGACTCAAACCGCAGTCAACTACATGGGAGTCCAGCGACATAGCCATTACGCTAACTGCTGGTTCCCTTTATGCCCTTTTGAAATTAATTTGGAATAAGAAGACAACTACAAATGCCCCCTTTCAAAGTTGGTGAATAGCTTCTACGCAGTACTGATAAAAACAATTTTCAAAATAAATGAACTCTCCCAACCTTTCTAAATAACAGCTTGTGTGGAAAGTCATGACGTATTTGGCTGTGTTCTCCTATGCAAAAATGCATCATGGCTTTCCCAATGACCTGATAGTTGACAGTGCTTTAACAAATAAGAATTCCTTTAGTGCAAAAGATTTTAATTTTTAAAAATAAACATTTATGGGGCCAGCAGGTAGCATAGTGGTTGTGGCACTGGACTCCCACATGGGTGATGATGATTCAAGTCCCAGGCTTGGTGGCTTGAAACTCATGCCAGGATCATGTGCATGGCCAGGCACATGTGCAGGCATGGCCAAAATCCTGAGAGGAGAACAAAGGAGAAGGGAACTGTCACATGGCCATCACATCTGGGGGGTGATTTCTCAATAGCAAAAATCTTTCTTAAAAAAATTTTTTTTAGCTCTTTGCAGCACCTATGACAAGGATGAAGACCATTCTCAGCAACCAGATGGTCGACATTCCCGAGAACGACATCACCCTGAAGGCACCATTATCATGAAGGACCCCCGAGGAGCCCTGTGGAGGGACTTCAACCACATCAATGTCGAGCTTAGCCTCCTTGGGAAGAAGAGGCTGCGAGTTGATAAATGGTGGAGAAACAGAAAGGAGCTGGCGACTGTTCGCACTATCTGTGGTCACATACAGAACATGATCGAGGGGGTTACACTGGGATTCCACTACAAGGTGAAGTCTGTGTCTGCTCATTTCCCCATCAACGTGGTTATTCAGGAGAATGGGTCTCTTGTTGAAATCCAAAATTCCTTGGGTGAAAAATACATCTGGAGGGTTCGAATGAGGCCAGGTTGTTGCTTGTTCAGTATCTCAAGCCCAGAAAGATGAGTTGATCCTTGAAGGCAACGACATTGAACTTGTTTGAAATTCAACTGCTTTGACACAGCAAGCCACGACAGTTAAAAATAAGGATATAAGAAAATTCTTGGATGGTATCTATGTCTCTGAGAAGGGTACAGTTCGGCAGGCTGATGAGTAAGATCGAAGAATTCTCCAGCTACAGTAACAAGCCGGGCAATTTCTAAGGCCTTCATATGACATTTTAAAGATGCTAATAAGAGACAATTGATTTGAAACTTTTCTTAAACT